CTAGACAGAATCGACTGTTTGTAAATGAACACGCTCTTCAACATTGTCCCAAGCATCCGCTAACCTGATCTCCAGTTAATGGTCGCACAGTCAATCAAATAAACTGCATCCTACTCAGTTTAAGCTGTTTTACTCGGGTTAGGGAGAGCAGATTAATCGGTGGGTGCGAAACTGGTAGTTGTCCGCACACTTCTGAAAGTTAACCTTTCACATGCGCCAAAGTGTTTTGTGTAAGTTGCCCTGGTGTCGAAAAATGTCGACCATCCAGCTCAATCGAAGCTCTGTGCTCGAAATTCGACGACTTTTTGCGCCCTAAGTCAAAAAGGGGATAATTAATCGATGATCGTTACTAAATTCCTCGGTTCGCACAGCAATTTAGAGACCGCTGGAATGCATCCAACAGCTGAGAGTTCTAAAAATAGTCTGCTCAGGCTACGTAAGCCAACGAGCATACCCTCCGCCAACAGTGAATCAATGTGGTGAGTTCGAATAGAGACGACTAAAAAGACTGCCGGCCTGAGGCTGTGGCATCCGTGACGCAGGCTCTCGTCTGCGTCCATCCAAGCTTTGCCAACCTCTACTGAGTGATTTTATTCGTGGCGACTTTATGCATTACAACTCCGTCAAGATCGAGCGCTAGCATGACATTTTGAGCGTCTTCCCAACTTCCATGACTAATTCACCATCATGCTCTTGTCTGCAGCGTAGTTTTAGCCTGTGTAGTGTCGTGTAGCTCTTTCTCAACCCCCTATTATCCCAAGAAAGAAAATTCTTGCTGCAAGCTGAAGGCTGTGTAACAACAAGACGTCCGGAGTGGACAGTATCCCCACTGATACCCTAAAGTCTTGTGTCAACTGTCCATCGCCTCGACTAAATGAGGTAATTCGGTAAGCCTGAAGTAATGTGATCGTTCCTAATGAGGGGAAGTCGCTTATCCTTTTGCTTGTCTTCAAGAGGGGAGATAAAACACGAGAACTAAAGTAGCCTGGGTTTCACGGACATTGCTGCAGAGACCCTTGCGTTTTCACTCTCAGACGTCTGCAGGGTCTGCATGACTTGAGGATAAAGCCAGGTTCAGAGCTGAACGTGGATGCACCGACAGAATTATTCGCACTACAATGTACGTTTGTGCTCAGACATGACTACCGGAAACCGACCACTGCCAGCTTTACTTCAAGGTCCAAGTTCCTCAATTGTTGGCCTTTGTGGAGGGTAATGCAGCCAAATGTTTGTCGGGCCAAAATGATTGCAGTGATCAAAACTTGCTACCGTCCTAACACTTTTCGCATTCTGTTCGACAATAATCTCCGCTGGCCTGTCGTACGACGGGACTGCATTTGGCTGCCCGTCTTGTATAACCGTACCAATAGCTGGAT